GATGGCCAATTATGGTGAACCTTACCCAAATAGCCGATCCTTGGGCTACACCCCATCTGCGATGTTGTGGATGAAGTCGCCCGCGACCGGGACTGGGACACACGACCGGGGACAAGGACCAGGAGATACTGGTCTACGACAACCAGACGTGGTCGCTCGACTCGTCCGCCACGTCGCCGCGCGGAAGCGACGCCTCGCTGCTCTCCTCGCCCCGCGACTAGTCCTTCATGACCCCGCGCCTGCCCCTCGCGGCCGCTGTCACGATCACCACCTCGACCACCTCCGCTCCGCTGGCCGCGGCCGCTTCACGACCTCCGCTGTCGCGGTTGCGCGAGCTGAGCCTACACCTCTCGGAGGTGTTCATGGCGCGGCCGGCGCCCGTGGCCGGCGCCCAGGCCTCATCGGCTACCGACGAGCCACCGGGCAAGCGGGGCGGCAGGTGGGTGGTGGACATGGACTACCTCTTCGTCGGCGCCCGGCGCGTGGTGGTCAAGAACGGCAACCCGACCTCGCTCAAGCCGACGCCCGACTGGGAGCCCACCAACAACGGCGCCGATGATGCCGACGCCGACGCCGACGCCGACGCCAACAGCGAAGAGGAGGTGGAAATCCAGGTGGACGGGTACATGCACGAGATGGATGACGTCAGGCGCGGCAACCTGTCGGCGCGGAGCCACCACCAGGCAGGGGGTCGGGCCGACCACGCCGCGCGTGGTGCGGCGCAAGGTGCCTTTCTTCCGGCGGTTCTGGCGGCGCCTGCGGGGCGTGTTCTCCTGCTTCTCCTCCTCAGGTCCCGCCGCCTCATCCAAGAGGTAAAAGCCGAAGAAGCAAAATTGTGATATCACACATGTCTCTGACCCCGGGAGTTTAAATGAAAGCCATCAACATGTTCCGCAGACCAGGATCTAGGGTGTGGCCGACCATGAATTTTCCAGTGATGGTGACCTAGGAGCTCGTTACACAGTGACTGGAATCACAGTAGGGCACACCTTGACGCACTTCCAGAAGCACTTGCCTTCCTCCTTCTCATCGCCGTCATCGTTGCAGTCGTGATCATCCTTGTCGTCGCCCTTCCAGTCGTTCCAGTCCCAGTCCTTCTGCTTGTCATCGGCCCTCTTGCCGCCCAGGTCTTGCCCTGCTGAAATTAAGTCAGCGCAAAATTGAGCGTTGGTGCAGGACCGAGGAGGGGTACACACCATCGTGGGCAAGAGCGAGGGCAAGCAGGCCCAGACAGACCAAGGCGAAGAGGATCACGTTGAGCTTCATAATGCTGTTGTTGTTGATTGCTTGCGTTATTGGTAGTTGTTGGTTGTGATGAAGCTGGTGCTCTTATAGCTCGAGCTCATCCAGCTGATTGGCCGGTGGCAAGATAAAGCGCCTCGATCTCATTGGCCTTTGCCATAAGAAGAAGCCCCACCACCACACCTCTTCGACAACGACCAAGAAGCACTCCACCACCTCCACGACGACCAAGGACTGCCCCAAGCACACCACGTCCACGACGACGACCAGGAAGCACCGCACCACCACGCCCGACGAGAAGAACTGCCACAAGTCCACCAGCACCACGACCACCAAACGCCACCACGACAAGCCCTGCGATCAGTAGTTGTTTGCCAGGATTTCTGAAATCCCACCAAACAAGGAAATTACACATCATTTAAGGCAGCCAACGGGCGGGTCGCGACTCTCTAAAGCCACACTTGGCCGGCCCTGCATCATGGCCATGTGCCATGGACCCTTGTACGCTCTGGCAGCTCGCTCACGCCGCGCGCACCGTGGGGCCCGTGCGCTACAGGCGCCTCCAGGCCAAACGGGAACTCACCAAAGCGATGAAGGTGTATACCAGAGACATATTTCCGTGGTGTTCATGAGAAGGGCTTGGAGGACGCCCCTCCGCGTCCGTAATGTCACCTTTTGTGGTCGACCCCTGTCCGAGTCTCCCCACCAGAGCCCATGTGCTCGAGTGGTGCCCAAAAGCCCAATCCCTGACCGGGCCAAAGTTGTCTTCCCCCAATGTCGTCCTCAACATTTGCTGGTGAGCTTTCCTTTCTTTCGCTTTAGCTCCCGCAAGAGGAGAAGGTGCCCCGCGCCCTTGCCCAGGTCATGACGAGTGTGCTCATCTCCTATCCACAGTTCCGCGTGCAGGTCCTCTTCCGCGACAAACTGCCACAAGGTCCCTATGCGGAGACGATCAGAGAGAAGAGCGCCTACGCCGTCTACTTGCCCTTTGGCGTGAGCTTGCAAACGATGAAGGAGGTGCTCTTGCAGCACTGCGGCGACGAGGTCATCCGCCTGCAACAGTCGCCAACCCAGTTCAAGGTCAGGGAGGTCAAGTTCAACCGCCACTTCGTCCAAGAGACAACAACTCTCGACAAAGTTATTTCAGATGGGGATTACCTTGATGTTTCGGTGAAAATGAGAGTGGAGAGCACCAACTGTTGTATTTTGTTTTAATGTCTCCAGACTGACTCCAGCTTTGAGGCCACTTTCATTTTCCGCCCTGTAAAGTTATTCGTAACCGATACAAACAGTTGAAACATAATCGCGCAAAATAAAACTGGGTTGATGATGATGTCGATGAGGCGACACGCCGCAATGGCCGCTGCCTGAATCGCGCATGCCCGCCTGCCATGAACGAGAGTACGCAGAAGAGGCAGCGCTTTGTCCGGCACCTGCCTGCGCTGACGCAACTCCCCAACTGGCGAGGTAAACCTGGCCATGGCGGTCGAGCGCTCATACCGTCTCTGCTGTGGTCGCGAGGTGGACCTGGCCTCGACGCACTTTGCGCCGTCGGGCGGCGCAACGCTCGCGCGCCTGGACCACAGCGATCCGCCGGGCGTGGCGCGCTTGGTGCCACGGCCCATCGACGTGGCTGCGCTCGCGGACCGCGGTGCGACAGATGCCGAGCCGGCGGAGGCACTGCCATGCGTATCGCGTGCATTGACGCTCAACTTGGGCGTCGCTGTCATGGAGTTTGATGATGGATGGTGCCGCCCGCGCATCAGCCACACTGAGCGCCTGGACACGGCGCTCGACCGCGCGCTGGCGCCCGAGTGCTTTGCCGACAATGAGCCGCTCGACAGCGTGGCGCGCTTCATCAGCCTCGCCAAGCGCACGCGTGCCGAGGACACACAGGCGGCCTGTGCCGCTTGCCGGACCATGAGCCTACAGCCCGCTCGATCCGACCCGCAGGCCAGGCCCATCGTTTCAGTCGCTGCTTGGTGCGATGCCGCGACAGGCGAGCCGATTGGGGCGTGGGTGCGCCACCGGCCACGCCGAGTCCGCCTTGCTGGCCAAATGCAGCATTGTCACGGCCTTGACTTGGTCGCGAGCATGGGCCAGGCCGCTGATGCTTTGCCCCGGCCAGTCTAAGTGGTACCATTAAAGCTGCTTTAGCTGAAAGAAGTAAGTTAAAGCAAGCACGCTGCCTGTTAGCAGGTACCCCATTGTTGCTTGGGTTTGCCAGTCCGAATTACTGGCGGCTGCCTTGGCGCAAATGGTGATGCGAGTTGGGGTCCTTGTGGTGTAGTGCTGCGGCAACGCGCGCCACCAAAGCATCCCAAGCTGCAGCGGCTTCCGCCCCGACCGAGCAAGGTCGCCACCCGATTGCCCTGTGGTCCGGCCCGCTCGACCCGGCATACATACAGGCTCACGGAGCAAGCGCCCCCGGCGGCCAATTCAGCCCGCTCCGAGAGCGCCGCCGAGCATGGATTCACCCCGATGACTGTGGCGCCCATCCACAACCACGGCACGCGCAGCCAGCCGCCGAGCGAGCAGATGGCCAGTTTGCCCGCCGGTCCTTTCGGCGGTGGCACAAACGGGTTCCAACTGTCGTCGTTCGGCATGGCAGTCTGCTCCAGGGAGCCCGCTGACTTACACGACTGCTCGCCTCCCGCACCACAGCTATGACACCACAGCCATCTGCTCATTTGAGACTGGGCTTGGCCCGCATAGTCTGTCGCCCATGTCAGCCCCACCCCACAACAACAAAGAAGGTCCCTGGTGCTGTGTGAGAAATGATGAAGAACAGCGTGTCATCAAGAGTAGGGAAGGGTACCATTTCTCTGAACACAGGGAATGGAGGCAGTCTTGCACTTCACCCAATGTGAAGGTAGAGATGGGGCGCAAGTTGTCCAAAGGGGAACAAACTGAGTGTGGCCTGGTGGGAGAGGTGAAGCTGGTGCATGGCTTGCAGACACAGCAGTGTGGCTTCACCTCCATTCCAAATGGCCCACTAGCCAGGTGTTCATAAAAAAGAGTTCTTTGTTTGGTTTCTTTCTTGCTAATTTAGAGAGGGATGTTGCCGTGCTTCTTCCAGGGGTTGTCGAGCTGCTTGTTGCGCAGCACCTCGAGGTCCTCGCAGATGATGCGGCGCGTGAGGCGCGGCGACACCACGTCGTCGATGAACCCGCGCGACGCGGCGGCCAGCGGGTTGGCGAACTTGTCCCGGTACTCGGCCTCGAGCTTGACCATGTCGACGCCAGCCTTGCCGCGGTACAGGACCTCGACTGCGCCCTTGGAGCCCATGACGGCGATCTCCGCGCGGGGCCACGCGTAGTTGGCGTCGCCGCGCAGGTGCTTGCTGCTCATCACGTCGTAGGCGCCACCGTAGGCCTTCCGCGTGATGAACGTGATCTTGGGCACCGTCGCCTCGGCGTAGGCGTACAGCAGCTTCGCGCCATGGCGAATGATACCACCGTACTCCTGCAACGTGTGTGTGTGTGTGTGTGTGTGTGTGTGTGGTGAGCGAGTGCGATATGCGGGTTGAGTGTGTGCGATTGAAGAAAAAGGGAGCGCACCTGGGCAGTGCCGGGGAGGAAGCCGGGCACGTCGACGAGGGTGACGATGGGGATGTTGAAGGCGTCGCAGAATCGCACGAAGCGCGCGCCCTTGGTCGAGGCGTTGATGTCCAGGCAACCGGCCAGCTCCACCGGGTTGTTACCCACCACGCCGACCGTGCGCTGTAACACACGACGTGACACGAGACGCAACGCACACAACGCACAACACGAGGGTCAGCTCTGGGCTCTGATGAGAGCACGGTGGCGGAGGCGGACGTACGCCCTCGAATCTGGCGAAGCCGACGATGAGGTTGCGGGCGTAGTCGGGCATGATCTCGAAGAAGTTGGCGTCGTCCACGATCTTGTCGATCACCTCGTGCATGTCGTAGGGGTGGTTGGGATCGGGCGGCACCAACACGTCGAGCGACTCCTCGCAGCGCTCCCTACAACCACAACACACAGTCATCGTTTGAGAACACGCGCACACAACCGCACACAACCACACACAACCGCACACGCACAG